GGGAGGCCCCTCGCCGGCGAGGGGAAGGCCCCGCTCATTGCCGCCTCCCCTTTCCTCATGGTTTTCTTGTTCCCTTCCTCTTTAGGAGAGAAAGGAGGCCTGGTCTCGGTTGGGTACGGAGATGACGACTTCACCCGCTTGGATGGGGATGAGGATGGATATGAAGAAGAGGATGACGAGAACAGCAGGCAGTCAGTAAGTACTTCTTTGCCCCGAGAGCTTGACCTGATCCCTTTCATGCGTTGCAGAGGCTTTTCTCTCTCCAAAGAAAACCCTGAGTGGCAACCCATGATGGAACCCGGAATATCTGACTCCTAGGGTGGATTTCAGCACTTTCCGAATACTTCTACTCGCTTTGTTTTCATGTAGAAAGCATTTGCCTTGAAACCCATCAGCAGCTTGGTGCACCTCTTGTTGCTTGTTACTAACTGTGTTGATGCTGTTTGACTCTGTTATGGGAAAAAGGCTGGTACAAGTTAACAGCCACACTAAATGAAAACTATTGTTTAAGTGTAGTTGACAGGTATGAAAACCTTGTAAGAGCAACACACTATTTCATGGTCAGCTGGAGGATTAAAAAGAGTACAGTTCTGTGGTGTCCTGAATATTCTTTTATGTGTAACTTAACCCATGCACAACATCAGGTTACCTTGATGTAACAGCGTCCTGTGTAGACGTGAACAGCTTCTGCTTGTCATAGGTGCATGGCATGTGTATAACACCACCTAAATACTGAGGTAACTGATGGACTGTGAGACAGGGCACGTAGCTCACTACCTGTGAATGCAGCTATAACACACAAAAGGATATACAGTTCTGTTATGTGTCTATAGGAGCAAAGCAATAAGTTGTGTGGGGGAGGAAGGTTCTTGTCTCCTTTCATTCTCATCAACCTTTTGCTTGCCACCACATGAAGAATGTGTTATCTTGTCCCTGTTCTATGCTTTCCTCTACCATGTAGCCAAAAAAAACCCCAGGGCTATGTTACTATAATTTTTCCTCATTGAAATCTACTTTGTGTGCATTAGATCAGTCTCTATGAGACACTCGCTGTTTCTGCCATCTGTTTTCCCAAGTAGCTGACAAGAAATTCGTCAGTCTTTTGTTCTTACTTTTGGGTTTTTTTCTGTTGCTAACTGGAGAAGGTGCAAGCAATAGCATTCAGGGTCTGCCTCTGGCATCCGGCTTAGCAAAGTAATGAAGCTTCTTCTCTACTTTAGTGATTCTTCTTTTTTTATATCCAAGACTTCTAGATACTCCTTCAATGAGATCTCTTTAAACTAAAGAAAATGGTAGGTGTGATCCAGATGCTTGTCTGGGTCAGCTGTGTTTAGTTAGCATTGACAAATAGGCTTGTAAACGGAGCAGCCTTTATAGTATGCACAATTTTCAGTGCAGGTTGCAGCTGTCCATCATCTGGGAGGTGCAAGTTGCTGTTCAAGTAATGGCAATCGATAAAGTCACTCTGGTGCTAGCCAGTAGATCTTGCATATATTTGTGGTTACAGATGTACACATGTTACACAGGGTGCCTTCTCTCCAGTCTTGTTGCAGGAGAGCAGTGCTTTTTTGCATTTTCTTTGACCACAATTGAGAGCTTCTTTGATATTGCTGGTTCTAGTAGCGTATATTGGTTGAGTTGTTTTTAAAAAGCAGTCCGAGTTGGACTCAGGTTGTCCTGGGCTTTTATCTAAACAACTCTGTGTTTATGTTATCTACCTTAAAAGTGGCTGAAAAGCCTCAGTTTTTTTCAAAGGCGGTTCTCAGTAGTTCTTCTTTGTTTGTTGATGTTGTTTCCGTGATATCCCCTGCTAGGTTAGGAGGTTTTGGGAGCTGTTTCAGTTACCTGTCTATAACATGAATGATTCAATCCATTGTTGCTTTGTTGAAAGTTACTTCTATCTTTATAATATAGGTGGGACTGTAGAGGGGAGAGGAATCTCATTTGTGATAAACACACAGTTACTTGGTAGTATGGTTCTTTCCTAGTTAAAAGCTTACTGTTATTAAACTTTGACAGTTAAGGCTCAATTATTGGCATATGTATATCTTTATGAAGGGTAAGGTGGAGAGTAGCTGAAGTGAAGGAGTTTGAGGTCTTACTTCTATGGGATAGGCATGTTAATTCAGGTGATTAAAACTTACTGACACTATTGTGGTCAATCTCTAGCTTGCCTTGCCAGAACTTGCTTGTGCGCTAATACTCTGAGGTGGGCATTTTGTTGTAAACTCTTCCTTTCAGTTGCATGTAATCATGTCACTTTTTTGTTTTTCTTTTTGAAGCCGAAACACCAAGTTCTTTTTTTGCGACCAAAGTTGAAATTTGTGGCGAAGTTTGGAGGAAAAAAACATTCTGCTGAGTTGTGTGAGCATGAAAAATGTTTTCTGCTCCTCAGACTTGTTTTGAACCCAGAGTACGTATTTATGTGTGGAAACATAGGTGACTCTAGGATTCCAGTGAAGTAGCCCGTAGGGCAGTGGAACAGCAGACTTACCTATCAGGACCAAAGCTAGAGCTTACTTCTCACGTGGTGTAGAGTTTTACATGAGGCTGAGTTCAGTATTTTAAGTTCTCACGGGGCAGAAATTTGCCCATTTCTTTGGTTTATTTCTGGGTAGAAGTAAGAACCGAATGGAGTCTGTTACCTAAAACAGTGAAATTTGTCAGTGGTTCCCTTCTGTGCAAATTCACGTTATCTGCAGAGATGACAAGAGCACTACACAAATAAAGATGCGGTGTCTGCTGGCATCACCGGATCCTTGGAACTTGGTGCTAGGCCAGACCCTCACCAAACCTGCATGTGTGGATGGCAGGCCAGCTCTGTGTCCTCTGTATGTTGCTGATGTATGCTTGGGAGCATAATAGGTCTTGCAAATGCTGCTTTTTCTGTGAGTACTGCTAAACAGGGGCAAGTGCAAAAAGCCCACCTGCCAACTGGAAGAGACAGAATTATCAAATGACAAATGCTTTTTTCCCCAGTTCTGTTGCTTCTTATAGTCTAAATCTGAGCACTCGGGAGCTGCATGAGTTTTGCGGGGGACGTCTGCTACTGAGTGGTGCTTTTGCCTAAAAAAAACCCCCAAAAAAACCCAAACCAAAAACAAACCCAACCCAAAGCCAAACAAACACTTCTTTCCTTGACTGTAGGTCTTGTTTTCTGGTTATGAGTGGGTGGGACAAGAGCACCTTCTGTGGAAAGGGTCTTGCACTACTGCCGGGCTGCTGAATGCGAGCCCTTTGCTGTAAGTGCAGTTACTTGCCAAGCCTGCTCTTTAAGCTTAATCCTGTAAATTCTTGTCTTGTAGGAAGATGACGATTCAGAGACTGAAAAACCTGAGGCTGGTGACCTAAAGGTATTTGAAAGTGTGGTATGGCGGTGGGGGGGGAAGTTCAGTACAAGAGGAATGAGTCTTAACAGCATGGCTTGGTGTTCGTTTGTGACCTTCCCTAGCTAGTTTCATACTTTCCTTTTTGTAGCTGTAATGTGTTTTTTTGACTTTAGTTCTGGCTTCTGCCAAAGGTAGTTAACCAGTTAGGCTACGGGCTGAGTGACGATCAAGATCTGCATTTGTGAATTTAGTCCTCTTGTGCATTAGGTCTGAGGTAGGTTTTCTGACAGCATCTCACCTATTTTGCAGTGATCTGGGACTGTAGTATTCAGTACAGAATTCTCGTATGACCAGTGTTAGTTGAAATACTTTCTTCGTTTAGAACAACTTGAATAAATGATCTTATGCTCCTAGAGGTCATGAAGTGTGTCAAAATCGATTCAGTTGTCTCCAGCTTTTTCTGTCCTTCTGAATGAAGCAGTTTGTAAAAGTTGTATTTAAAATGTAAAAAGTGAAATAAGATCCCCAGATGATAGCTATCCTAAATAGTTGAAGTCATCTTTGTCTTGGAATTACATCTTGTTTCTGCTGAACAACAGCTGTTTAACAGCACGTAGGAACATACATCAGGCTAAAAGCTGGTAGGCAGACAAAAGACCAAATCCATTTGGGAACTGTGCTCAAATTTTTATGCTATCCCCCATGCAATATAAGCAGTCTTGTGGGATACCAAGTGAATGACAATTGCAAAGGCCCTTATTTTATCCGGCAGCTTCCTCAAGGATGCGGACAGTCTCTAAGCTCTGCTAAAGAAACCAGAGGACTGTGCTGCAAACTGAAATTATGTAGAGCATTTGAATTGGCATAGGACTTTGACAGGACAAGATGAAGGCAGATGAATGTGTTTAGCTATTCTGCTTTTAAATTAGTTTTATAGCAGCACCTTCTTCTAGTTTTTACAATATTTTTATGAGTTGATAGTGATAGAGTGTTGAAAATCTTGGCAGCTGTACTGCAGCTGGTAAAGTCTCTTGCATCAGTGTGTGAAATATCTTTAATGCCTTTGGCATACAGGTAGGTGGGGATGGAATCTATTGTCTCCTTTCCTAGTTGCAAGAAAAATAAATTATCTTTTTTTTTGGAAGGTAGGAAAAGGTAATCTCTCCCTTCTGTCCTTTTTCTACTTCTAAATTTTTGCCGTTGTGGCTGGTAAGCATGCTGACAAGATGTTTCTGTAAAAACTGCTGGATTCAAATGTGTACTGTGAAAGAAGAATAGATGGGTTTTCCTTAAAAGAGAAAATTGGTGTACATCACCACAACCTCTGTTGTAGGGCCCTCTTGCAATTGTATGAATTTCTGCCTCCACTAAAAGGGCTCTAGGACTTCAGGGCAATGGAGGAAAGATCTGGCAAAGAGAGAAAGAACAAAATTGGACTGTAGTAGCTCTTGTCTAAGAAATGATGCATTACAGAGGTGTTACTACTGAAATGTGTGGCTACTGCTTTAATATGTTGCTGATGTTTCACATTGGCTTGTTTAAAAAGCCTCCTGATTTCAGTGAGTTCTGTGCGCTACTGTCTCGGTGCATTTTGCCCTTCTGAAGAAGAGCTATGTGTGGCCCAGAGCGGTGTTTCAGCTTCAGTGGGGAACAAACACTGAATGTATTAAAAGCATTTGGTATCTTGGATATGCTCTGCAGTAGGAACTCTGCAAGAACAGAAAATGTAAATTAAAGTGTTAAACTTTACATTTTACCTTTTTTGTTTGTTTTGTTTTAATTCCTGCTATCCTCGCATGGCATGAAAGGTGAGGAGTTGAAGAATAGCAGGGAGGCAAATCTGAACCAGCAATTTCAGACTTCCATGTCATCCTTAATAGATGTCTTCATATATAAGTAAAAAAGGGAACAACCTTCTCAAGCCTTTTGGGGTTTTTTTTGAATGCTGGCACCTAGGGTAGAGGTAGAAGCACACATTTGCTACACGGCATACTGCAAAGCAGCCCAGTGCTGTGCAGGTAACAGGGCAGGCACGCTGCTGTACGGCATTCTGTGGGGCACTGATGGAGTTGCTCTAGCCATGCTGTTAAGAATTTCACTCAGGCTGGATGGAGATCGAGCATCATTGTAAAAGTAGTTTTACTTGGAGCAGTTGCAAATGTTTCCTATCCCCCTTTTCCACCAAGTGGCAGTGTTCTCCTTGTTCTTCCTCACTGCTTTGAGCTTTCGATATCTATGACAGTCAACTAGTAAGAGTTGTAATTACTGTAAGTCCAAAGTGCGGCACTTTGGATAATTTTACTTTGCTTTGTCCCAGCTGAGTGCTGTAGTTATTCTTGCTCGATCAATTTCATTGTAAGACATCACAGACCTGGAAACATCTTTAAAGCGGTATCATGGGCTCTTTATGTCTAGGGTTTTTCCAGGGTCTGAGTCTGACTGTACGCAGAAGGTAAATCCTTTAAAATGCATGAACGAGATAAAAACATTGCAATTCATTGGTTAATCGTAGTCCTGAATATACATTCAGCATTTTTTTAGTGTTTGCCTCTGTGTACATATGGTGAATGAACTACTTTGAGATTATGTCTTGAATAATTGACCAGGACACTTGAGCCAGGCTGCGTGTGGAGAAGGAGTTCCCTTGCTGCTGGTGCGTCCAGTGATTTGGCCTCATTCTGCACCAGCCCAGATGCAAACCAGAAGGTTCAGTTGGTGTCAGTTGCGGGTATAGACTGAGGAGACCGAAAGTGGGGAATGATGTAAAAAATGTCTGGTAAAGTGACAGTGGGGAAAGTGGAATTTGGAGCCTGCCCCAAATAGCCCCAATGGGGAGATGTTTTCCTACCCCACCCTATGGTGTTTATATTTGTCTCAGGTTTTTGTCTTGATTGCAGGGAGTATACCCTTCTTGATCTTGATCAATCATCTGAAAGCATTCTTCCAGGGCAGACTTCTGGCCCATAGGATTCTCTGTTACTGAGCATCTGTGAACCAGTCCCAAACACTGTGTGCTTGCAGCAGAAAGCGGAATCCTCCTCTTTAAGTAGCAAAGTCAGATACCTTGCATCCTTTAACTGTGTTTTGAAGTGCTTCAGGGACTCGTGGAAAATGGGAGATTCAAATCTAGGTAAAAATAATTGCTTTTCCCAATTTCACTCAGTATGTGCTCAGACTCTGGACCAGGACATACTTGTTAGTGACCAAAATCACTTCAGGGGTCCCTGGTTTTAAGTGAGCAGTCACCAATTGTAAACAAGCAACTGTCCTGTCGTAAGCACTTCAGAAACAACACCTTCTGCTTAGAAGGGAAAAGAAATGGTCAACAGAAGCTGTTGGCAAAGACATAGTGTTAAAGATGGAAACCCACAGCCTGAATAGGTTCTTTGTCTTTTCCTCAGATGGTGGAGCAGTGGGTACAAAACAAAGGACGCTGTGGAAATGGGTGTGAAATTCGGTGTTCTGGTGGCATTGGTTTGGAATGAGGAGGGTTAACGGGCTGTTCAGTGAGTGCAAGTTGCTTGGGCTCTTGCCAGCAGCTGGCTATGGTTACAGCCTTGATGCAGTAACAAGATACAAGCCTTCAGAGCTCACTAAATGGACCGGCCCTGCAGGAAGAAGGAAAGTGAACCTTCAATGAAATATTGACCTTGTGCTCCAAGTCTTACCTGAGGGGTTCAATACTTCACATTGTAGGGCTGGATAAATAACAGGTTGCAAGCACTGATCAAGGACAGAGCCCAGCCCTGCAGCTTGGCTTACCGGAGTTTTCACAGTGGGAAATCATTAACTCTTGAGCCTTGATTGTGGTGTCAGGACTAGCCAGTCTGGGAATGCTGATAAATATTGCCACTCCCTTGGCAAGTGAAAGCCTGACACGTGGTAAGAGTTTTTCAATGCAGGTGGCTACTTCTCCTTTTCTTGTTTTGTTTTAAGGGTCCCCTCTGCATCCTTGTGGTGTTGTATGGCAAGGCAGACAAACTGGGATCTAGCAGAAGGGTGTCAAACTTTCAGAGGAATACTGTGTTCCTGAGCATGTCTAAGTACCACCTCTTGATAATCATCAACTCTTTATTATGTTTAGCTTTTATTGATCCGGCATACCTGTAAAGTAATTTTACTGTGTTATGATGCATAGGTGTGTACTAATACTTTAGATAGAGGCTTTTGATTGCAATGTTTTTTTATCTTGCCTGCCCATTAACCTGTTTGTTTAAATGCCAAAATTATCTTGATTTAAAGTAAAAGTGGTAAGTACTAAGAACCAGTAAATGAGGGTGCGTGCAGTAACGTAATCCCTGTAATTAACTCTTGTTTTGATAAGGCATATTAATTCTTCTGAATTCAAGATACATTCATCAAGACAGATTCTCAAAAGATGTCTGGACCTAATCTGTAACTTTCACCTCAAGTACAACTGTTTTGCTCTGAAGAAGGGGAAAAAGCGTGTTTGGGAAAAGCTGTATCATTAAAGCATTGCTGTTCCATTTAGGTATTCCACAGCAAGCTGTATAAAAGGAGCTGGCATTAGTAAGCTTTAGAAAATAATTTGAATCTTTTACTTTGGTGGTGGCAAATCATGAAGGTTGCTTAGCAAATACCAGCCCTTGATGCTTTCAGTTCTTGAGAGGTAGTCTTAAAAATGCTACTTAGAATATGTTAAAGGTCATATAACTGAAGAACATGTATTAAAACTGCTGTTCCACTCCAAAACTGCACTCTCCGATGGCTGAAGTGGCTGTGTATTTGTCTTCTTGCGGCGGTAGGATATAACTGGTTTGTAAGTGTGTTGTAGAAAGGCACTCCCAATGTCTTATCAGAAGTAGAAAAAAAAAAACTTCATTGCATTCTTTTTTTTCTGCCCCTCCCCACTTTTTGATGTTGGCTGGGTTAGCATTGGCTTCTGATGGGCAGAACTGGCAAAAGAGCAGCTGCATTTTTAAAATGGTCTTGTGTTATGCATGGCTGTGCTGCGTACCTTTTTGTAAACACTTTCAAAGCATGAACCGTGCAATTTCTGGGCT